AGGGAGGCAGTGAAGGACAGGAAGGCCTGGCGCGATATGGTTCATGGGGTCATGAAGAGTCCGACTTAACGACTGAACAACAACAATGAATGAAGAACCAGTTTGGTATAATGGTTAAGGTTGTGAGTTCTAGTCCTCCCTTAGGCATGGAAGCTCCTTGGGTGACTTTCAACCAGTCACTCTCTCTCAGCCCAACCCACCTCATGGGGTTGTTGTGGGGGGAAAATAGGAGGCATTACATACATGCCTCAAGTTGTACAAAATGAAGGGGGGATATAAATCTAATAATAAATATAACTATCATTGCTGTACTGGTTCCTTTTCCCCCTTTTCGTTGCTGTTTTGTCTTTTTCTCTTTGTTCTGTTTTATTAAATAAATAAAGCAAGAAAAAAAAATTTAAGAAATACAGGCAGGTGGGGTAAGAAGCTTGGCAGCCTTCAAGGGAGGTGCCTGTGGGCAGTCTGGCGCTCACCAGTCCCTGTTTGTTTTCTCTGTCCCAACTGCAGGTCAGATTTCCAATGCTTACCTTATTAGACGGTTCTAGCTTCAGAGCAGCCTTCAAGATTGGAATGGCCCCACTATATTCCCCTTGCTGAGCCAGAACCTAGGAGAGCAGACAGAGAAAAAAAACTGGGCCATCTCTGGTTTAACACAGGTCTTTTGAAAGCCTCTGTTTGCCAGACATATCTTAAAAAGTGGGCTGACTTCCCTGGAAAATGATCTGAAGTGACACACATAAATGAATAGGATGCCATATGTAACGGATGAAATCCATCAAAATGCCTTGACCGTTTTTTAAGCAGAAAACAGCGAGTACAGTGGTATTTAAAAGCTTGTGAACCCTTTTGAATGTTCAATATTTCTGCATAAATATGACCTAAAACAGGATCTGTTCTCCGCACAAGTCTCACATACTCTTGCCACACACAAATATGTAGCATTGGGTCATTTTCCTCAATAAATAAATGAATGGGTATAATGTTTTTGACTCATTTGTTTAATTGGGTTCTCTTTCTCTAGTTATAGGACTTGTGTGGAGAACAGATCACGTTTTAGGTCGCATTTATGCAGTAATATTTAAAATCCCAAAGGGTTCACAAACTTTTAAGCACCATTGTACATTTGAGAAGATACATTTCCCTTTCTCCTCTATACAGGCAGGAAAGCCTCTTGTGAAATGAAGCTCACTGTTTTTATGAAAATGCATATTTGAAGAAAAAGAAAGGAATAGCTGCCTGTTTCTTTGGACCTCTACGTCAGTCAAAATTCCTTTTCAGAAATCATTCCTCCTGCCATACCTGCTTCATCTCAAGAGACAGAAGGTATGCTTGTCCTCCCTGTATTACAGTGATCAATCGATCGATCGATCCATGCATGCACGCACGCATGCATGCAAGCATGCAGATTCAGAAAGCATGTTTATTCAGACAGTAGCCCTATCCTGAACTTATTCCTAGGAAATAGTCTGCAAGACTGCTGCCTGAATCTTTTTCCTAAGAAAGTTCCCAATCAGGAAATATCTGACTTAATCACTGTTGCCTGCCTACTTGCCTTGTTGCGGGGGTCTTTATTATCCTTTTATTCTGTTGCCACCACTAATTCTCTTGGAGGGTTTAGAAATTCTTTTAGGCAACATAACTGAGAGGGCTATGGGGAGGATACAGGATAGCACAGAAGCATGGTTAACATAAAAACCTAAAATAGGTTCACTTATTTCTACAAATGATCTATATCCCTCCAATACTAGCCTACTCAGGCCCTAAAATCATTCCTAACTCTTTCCCAGCCTCACTCAGATCTGTTCTTCCGCCTGCAGCGCTCACATCCCTCATTCCAAGTTTCCTTCTCCTACTGGAAGATAACTTGGGAGGAGGTACCAAGTGCAGCCATCCTTTGACTGGCAGTTCCATCACCCAATCATCATCAGACTCTGGGACGGACCACCTTGGGCTCACTGACAACCCCCTGGCCCCTAACACCCTGTTACCTTCCCCTTCCGGAACAGAGCCTTGATGTTATCTGGCTGCTGCTCCAGCACTTGATTGCAGGATCGCAAGGCAGCTTCGTAATGGTCCAGTTTAAGCTGGGAAGCTGCTAAATTATTCAAGCATTTCATCTTCACTTCCACCAGCTCTTCCTCTTCTTCCTCACTGAAATCTACTGCAGGGAAAAAAAGCAGAGTTAAGACGGGAAAAGCTGTGATTCAGGACAGGGGGTAGAACTATCCAGGGGGCAGCCTTCTCTAGCTCGATGCCCTCCATGCTGGGTGGGAATTATGGAGCAGAAATCCAGTGTATCAGAGAGTGCACAGACAATTTTTTTTTTAATTTTGCTGAAAAAGCTTTTAAAATATTGAACTGGACAATCTCCTGCTTCTATCTTGCAACCTCCACCACCTTATTTAACAAACAAATAACAGCCAAAGTGTTTAGAGCACTGTTTCTCAACCTTGGCAACTTTAAGATGGTTGGACTACAACTCCCAGGATTCTGGGAGTTGAAGTTCATGCATCTTAAAGTTGCTAAGGTTGAGAAACACTGGTTTAAAGGCAAATGGGAGATACTTATGTGGCACTTTTAATTTTTTTAAATACAGTGTTCTGTATTTGCCCAACTAGACAGCAGCACCTAGCCAACGTTGGCTCATCTCAAAAAACTAAGCACACTTGCCTGAGGGTAGTACTTGGATGGGAGGCCACTAGGAAATCCCAAGGGTGTTGGCTAGACTGGGAAATTGGAGGAAAAAAAATCCCAGAAGAAATCGAGGACATATCATTTCCATAATGTTGTCAAGAATATTCCATGGACATATCCAGACTTTCACCAGGAATACAGCTCAACTTGAGGCTTTACCTGCTACATATTTACATTAGCACCTACTGTGTTTTTCAGAGTTCAAGGGGCATTTTTTAAAATGAGGATTAAGTTGCTAGTTCTCAGCACTTGGTACAAAACAAATTACTCTCCCATGCTGAGCGCTGGATGGAGGCCAGGCTTCTTCACTGGGGACGGGGGGAGGAGGAGCTCAGGTACCTTTAGAATTAGAGTTGATGATCTTGAGAGCAAGGTCATAGGAATTGACAGCCAGAACGTAATCTGCTCGCTGGTAGTGGAAATTGCCACGCTCCCTCTTCCGGTTAGCCAGGGAGATTTTCTCTTTCCCGCTAAGGCATTCCAAATCAGGAGCATCCTGGGCAGCCAGCAACTCCACCTCAAGAGTTAAGGAGGCATCAGGCGGGATGTCAGGACTCCTGTTTGGAAGAAATCAACAGCTTCATTCTGAGTACCTAGGTCAGTGTTTCTCAACCTTGGGAACTTTAAGATGTGTGGACTTACTTTAAGATGTGTGGACTTACTTTAAGATGTGTGGACTTACTTTAAGATGTGTGGACTTCAACTCCCAGAATTCCCCAGCCCAACCATGCTGGCTGGGGAATTCTGGGAATTGAAGTCCACACATCTTACAGTTTCCAAGGTTGAGAAACACTGATGTAGAGATTGCCTTGCTGGATCATATCAACGGCTCAATTAACCCAACATTCAGCTGCCAAGAGTGGTTAGACCACTAGTCCTTCCACTGAACCCTATGCCTTATACCACGGACTAGACCATAATCTCCTAAGGCTGTGCAAGTTTATGGATTCAAAAGGCAAAATGTGTTTCAGAGACCACGTGGGCATGCACAGAGTCTCTGTCGGGAACATCTTAAAGCAGCTATGTCTTTTCCCAGGATCGCACGTCAGCTGCCAAGGGCGGCCATGGACGCTTGGGGGAAAAACCCGTCTGCTTTACAACGTTCTCAACAGGGGCTACACACGTGTCCATGCACCCTCTGAATCGCATGTTGTTCTTCGAATCTGGATCTCTGGACAGACTATATTGTAGTCTGCAGCGCTAGCATTTCTCTTCAGACTTTCCTACCTCACTTCTACCCTTCACATGCCTCCTTTGGTGACAACATCCTGGCTGGCTTAATGTATAGTAAAAAGCAGGTAGCTGGATTTTAATGCTGGTTTACTCATCAAAATTGGAAATGACATTTGGCTCCAGTTGTAAAGTGCAATGGTAAATTAAAAACCCCAGCTCCCTATCCTGGACTTAAGGGGAAATTGTATTTTAGTTAGAAAGGACTGAGTATCAAACAGAGGATTCAGTGGAGGACTTCTTCCCAGCATTTCATAGGTCAGCTGCTGCAACAGAGGCTCCATTTGTGACCTTCATGGCTGAAAGGACCCAAGAATCATTGGCTAGGTTAAGTCTAGGGGCTCATCACATAGTATCCTGTGTCCAACCAAGTACCTCTAAGAAATTCCACAGGTAGAGGCCAAAGACCCCAATCTCTGTTGCCTCCTAATGCTCCTGTTTTCTGAAGTGGGCTGCTTCTGTGCATGAGGTGGCCACGAGAAGATCTATTTAATCCCTCTTAGAACAGTGCAAGTGGATCAGAGATCTACCTAGCCCAACTTTTATCTGCTAAACAAAACTTCAACTGTTTCAAGCAAGCTCACGAGCAGAGTGGGGAACCAATAACTCTTTCTGGATTGTCTGTCCACCAGCTGGAAATTCAGAGAGACTTCCTCTGAATGGACATTCGGTATAGCTATTGTAGTTAACTGCTGCTGCTAAGCTACCCCACCCCTGCCAACCAACCCCGGCTTCTTTTTACTTCCTCATGTACCTCCCCTGCGGGCCGAAGCAATATTTCCCGTCTGAAGTGATGAGTGCCGTCTCCCCCATGTCCATCAGCTGTACACAGAGGTCCAGGGCCTGTGAAGAGGAAGGAGGGAGAAAGGAAAACCATTTGGGTAGTGTGAGACTAGGCTGAAGCTGCCATAACCTAAAGATGAAGCAGGCACGTAAGCAGAGAGGACAAAAGCCAGGA